TTAGGGGTTGGGGTTTAGGGTTTACTGGGTTCTCTTTAGAGGAGTTTGTTTCACGTACTAGAAGGAACCAAGGAAAATAATAAGTTACCATAAGAATCGAAACCCTATCATTTACTGTAGATCCGGAATTATCTCAAGTTGAGGTAGATTCTTTAGTAAGAACTCAGGAGCAGAACCGTGCTTGATGGCCCTGTGCTAGGAACACTGAAGCCTGGGAACAGTGGCTTTCCTTCAGCCAACGCTCGCATGTCGATTCTGTCCGTGGGTCTGGGGTATAGGGCTGAGGGCTTGTAGGTTTAAGGGTCTTGAGTTTTGTGCATGATAGTTTCTGGCATCTTCCTGCTGCACACCCCGAGGTCTCATACAATCCAACAAGAACCTAGCAAGCAAAACTTCACAACGACCAAGGAAACCCCACCGTCCGATAGCCTCACAGGACATGGGATCTTGGCCGCTCGAGGGCTTGAGAGCTTGAAGGGTTTGAGGGGTTGGAATGTTTAATATTGGGGCCTTGACAGCTAGAATAGGGTTTNNTACCATAATCCTAACTTTGATAACGAGACCCTAAACCCTAAACCCCTAAACCCTATACCATAATCCTAACTTTGATAACGAGCCTCCAAAACTAGTATTGGCAATTGTTTAGGCCCCAATATTAGGCCCTAAACCCTAAACCCTAAACCCTAAACCCTAAACCCTAAACCCTAAACCCTAAACCCTAAACCCTAAACCATACAGTGGCGTCGGGTCTCGGCATGAAGGAAGCCGGCACTTCCCGAAACAGCCGGCAGCCCTGTCACCGTTTAGGGATTAGGCTTTAGGGTTCAGGGCTTAGGGTTTAGGGTTCAGGGTTTAGGGTTTGGGTTTAGCGGTTAGGGTTTAGGATTTAGGGTTTAGAGTTCAGGGCTTTGGGTTTAGGGTTTTTGTTTTTGTTTGAACGCCTTTTTCCGTCAGCAATCTAGGATTTAGGGTTTAGGGTTTAGGGCTCCTCCTCCGCATCCCCGGTCTCGTCGAAGTGCGCCAGCCAGGCCTCAGGGAGTGGCCAAGCAGGTCCTACAGCGATAGAACCATGGATGTTAGGATTTAGGGTTTGGAGTTCAGGGTTTACGGTTCAGGGTTTAGGGTCTCTTGAAGGTTGTTTAGGGCTCAGGGCTTAGGGTTGCGAACAAGTTTGGTAGCGGCGTGACTACGATTCTGGCTACGATGCAGATCGGAATGACTACAAATTCAATACTATCACTTTACAGTCCCCACGAAAGCTTTGTAGAGTAGATAGTCCGACTCTAATTACTGAGGCGAACGAGCTACTTTCTCTGATTTCTTACTGGCTATCTATTTCACCCCCATAAATTGCAGGGCCATCCCGTTTGGGGCTTACCTATAGTCTCCCATCGCAGTTCGTTTTTGGGGTTACCTTATAGGACCCTCACCATAAAGTTGCATGAACCAAACTGAACTACACCCCAAACCCTAAACCCTAAACCCTAAACCCCTAAACCCTAAACTCTAAACCCTAAACCCCTAAACCCTAAACCCTTAATTGACTATAGGTAGGGCTGAGGGCCTGAACCCTAAATCCCGATGTCCAAAAAACCCAAGCCCCAAGCCCATACCCTACAGACCGTATCAAGTCTCCTATAAAAGCCCCCAAAAAGGCCCTCACATGCACCAAGCTGCTAAAACCTGTATAGAACCCTTACAAAACCCTACAAAACAGTTATTATATACCGTTGAAAAAGCAAAAAAACGAAGAAAAACACCAAACACGATCTCAAAACATATAGAATAGAACCACAAAGAAGACCGGATATCCTCACCAAACCCTATAGCACCAAAAAAACATACCAAAATTACGGATGTAGGGTTTAGGGTTTACAAGGACCCTATGAGCAGAAACATACAAGCCTCTGGAGCCCTCCAAAAGCCTAAGGGTCCAAAGGACCCAAAAATTAGGTACCGAGGTTTCGGATAGTAGTTCTATAGGTACTATTTGGGAGAGTATATGACTCGGACCCTGCCTAAACCCTAAACCCGACATCCTAAACTTTAAACCATAAGCCCTAAGCCCTAAACCCTAAACCCTAAGCCCTAAACCCTAAACCCTGAGCCCTAAACCCGAAGCCCAAA